AAGGCCCTTAATAAGTATTAAAAAGTCTTAAATGCCATTTTCCAAGGTATTAAATTGAGTCATCTTTTCATTATGTATATTTGCCAGAATAGTGGGGTTCTGTGTAGTTTATTTATGGAATCCCGCAAGATTTGACTTCATCTGTTATGGCGCTCACTGACTGACTGATTCTAATATTGTATAGTATTTTCACGCATCAGGGCACCACTACCAATATGTGGCCTATTTAAACCCCTTTTGAATGAGCGCCAGCCGTCGCAGTTCACTTTCACTTTCGATTTCGCGATCGCACGCGCACTGTGTAAAGGGAGCACATCTTACGATAAAAGCTATTTATTTAACTCCATGATTCCTGTATATACCCTGTGTTCAGATATCTAAGCATATTCTGATCAGAGTGTAAAAAATGGCCTGGTGAACATCAGTGGCCTGATGTTTATGAGGCAGTTTTGCACAGAAGGAAGGATCTCGGCCTTGTTTTTTGAGCCTCCCCTGATGTATCTTTTACATATGCTCTTGTCATACAGAGAAGATTGAGCGCACGGTTCAGATCGAGGCCTCAACTGTGGAGATTGAGGAGCGTGGAGTGAAGCTGCGTCTCACTGTGGTCGACACGCCTGGATACGGTGATGCCATAAACAGCCAGGACTGGTGAGGTTTGCTTTGGTGGTCATTAGAAATATTGGAAAAAGCTCCGTACACATATAGTCGTCATTATACATTGTTTTGCTTCAGAACTGTATCTTTAAGACAGATTTTTTTTCTTCATTTGATGGTGTAATTGGAGATATGAAGAACAGAGAGTGCAGTGGAGGAATGAAGGAAACAGCTTTCTGATTTCTTTTTGTGAGTTCTGGGAATGCTGTTCTGCTAGTGGAAGTGGTGAGACAGGAAACATGTGTGACCTCTTCCTGACTGCTCCCTGACCCACTTGAGCGCAAAAACAGCAAAGAGAGGATATTGACGTGCTTGTATCTGAAAAAGGAAATGTATGCTGTCAAGTAACTTTTATACAAGTGAAACTTGACATTCTAATGCACTGGTTTTGTATCAAAGTCAACAGAGTATATCACTAGCATGTTAAAACCATTTCAGCCTTTTTTTACTGGAAGGCCTGATGCATTTTCCATATTTTGCTGCCTTTACACTGCTGTTGTAGAGTGCAACAGTGCCCTCCCACTTTTTCAGCGTCCTTGGTTTTGAATATTTTTCGCATTTCTTTTTCCCATTTAAAAAAAAAACTCAGTTTAAGAAACAAAAATGTTAGTTACAGTATTTTGCAAAATGTACATGTAAACATTAACACTTAAGTTGTCTGAGAGCGTGAGGAGACTGACTATAATATGATAATATGGAGAACATTCCTGTCATTTCTACAGAAGGATACCAGCATTACAAACAAGTGGTTGAAGTTTAAAAAGATCCTTATCATTTCAGTCTGATCTATACAGATTGTGATGCACATTTTCAGATTTGTCATAGGGATGGGGCACGTAAAATGTAAACTCTCTGCAAGTGTTTAATCATGTGCTGTTTTTTTTTTTTTTTACAGTTTTAACACCATTATCGCCTACATCGATGACCAGTTTGAGCGCTACCTGCATGACGAGAGTGGACTCAACCGCAGGCACATTGTGGACAACCGTGTGCACTGCTGCTTCTACTTCATTTCCCCTCTGGGTCACGGGTGAGCTCTTACATTTCATTCAACTAAGACATGTTTTATGATGCCTTCCACTGTCATAGGTGTGAGTTTAAAGGGATAGTTCACCCAAAAATGAAAATTTGATGTTTATCTGCTTACCCCCAGGGCATCCAAGATGTAGTTTCTTCAGTAGAACACATTTGATGATTTTTAAGTCCAACCGTTGCAGTCTATCAGTCGTATAATGGATGGCAATGGTAACAAAGTCTATGAGTGTAAAAAAAACATGCACAGACAAATCCAAATTAAACCCTGCAGCTCGTGACGACACATTGATGTCCTAAGACACGAAACGATCGGTTTGTGCCAGAAACCGAACAGTATTTATATAATTTTTTACCTCTAATACACCACTATGTCCAACTGCTCTGAGCACGCGCACGGCTTCCGGTGCGTGAGATGTGTATGCGCTCTGGTGTAGTTTACGAGTTTACGCAAGCGCCGGAAGTGATCTCTCGCTCGTATACGTCACTCATTGTTTACACAGTGCACAGTCATTGTAGGTACGCGGGCAAGGATGCTGGGCCGTCTAGTCCCTTCAAGCGCTGTGGGCGCTTCTCTCTGAAGGACGAAGCCGCCGCCCCTCGCGCCATGGACCGGAGAGGGGAGCGCGTGCGGCCGCCGGACTCCGCCCCTTACCAGGACCCTTCCTTCCTGACCACTGCCCTTCCCTGCGCGAATCCCGCAGCACGACGAGGACACCAGATCCCCTGTATATTTTGGACACATGATTCCCTTTTTTCTGGACATGTTCACACCGTTCTATTCTGGATTTAAATGGCTGATTTTCCCATTCTCCAATTTTATAGGATGAAGCCTCTAGATGTCCAATTCATGAAGGCCATTCACAACAAAGTGAATGTCGTTCCTGTTATTGCTAAAGCAGATACGCTGACACTGAGGGAGAGAGAGAGACTCAAGCGCAGGGTAAGCCATTCAGGTTTCTTTCCAAAGATGGAATGATCATATATTTGGTTTGTTGGCTATATGCGTCTTTTTGTGGGATACTAGATTCTGGATGAAATCGATGAGCATGGCATCAAGATCTATCACCTCCCTGATGCCGAGTCTGATGAGGATGAAGATTTCAAAGAGCAGACCCGGATTCTCAAGGTGTGTGTGTGTGTGTGTGTGTGTGTGTGTGTGTGTGTATAAGATAGAGACAGTTCACCCAAAGGAAAAATATCACAATTTATTCACCTTCATGTTGTTCTAAACCCATGTTTCAAACTCCCCCAAAAATACAAAAGCACCATAAGCATACATTACTTCAAAAGTATAGGTTTAGTAAGATTTTATTTATTATTTTAATTATTAGGGATGTCCCGAGCCGATCGGGGCTGATCAAGCAATTTTTTTTAAAGGCTGGGCATATTTCTGTCTGATTTTGAGCCAAATCCTGACTCGTGCAACACTAAGAACAGACCTTATAGTGAGAGCACATAAATCCTGAGCTTTGGTTTGACATCACATGCCATACAACTCTCCTACAGTGATCCTTATCGACTCTCCTAAGCCTGATTCTTATTTTGTGATGTGCAGTAGGTGGCAGTATTCGCCTTCCGGTAGATTCGCCAAGCGCTATTAAAAGGAAAAGAAGCTCTCAAATATATGTGTTCAGCCACCATTAAAACCAAAAGAAGAAGAAATGTGCATGCCATGCAGATACTCAGTATTCAATGACTCCGATCGGATCGGGGGCACAAAAAACCTGATCGGGACATCCCTTATAATTATTACTATTGTTTAAGAAATTGCTACTAAATTAATTCTAAAACAACAAGGAAGCATTCAAATGATCAAAAGTGACATTAAGAAATTTATAACATTAAAAAAGTACATTCTGGTCAAAGAAAAAAACAGTTTTCAGCACTGATAATAATTAATGTTTCTTGAGCACCAAATCAGAATGATTTCTGAAGGATCATGTGACACTGAAGACTGGAGTAATGATTGCTGAAAATTCAGCTTTGCATCACAGGAATAAATGACAGTTTAAAATATATAAAAACTGTTGAGTCGAACTCTTGGTGAGCATTTAGTGAGAATTATTCACACTGGTTTTAGGAATTGTAATTGAAACTGAATTGCGAAACAAGTCAGACAGGCTTGAGGGTGAGAAATGGCAGATTTGTCGTTTTTGTGATCACTTGATGCTTACTGTTACCTGCTCTTCAGGAGACTGCATCCAATGTGCCGCATGCTTTGCTTTTAAAAGTTCCTTTTCATCTTTGTGTTGTAGACCAGCATACCGTTTGCCGTGGTGGGATCCAACCAGCAGATTGAGGCTAAGGGGAAGAAAGTGAGAGGGCGTTTGTACCCATGGGGTGTGGTGGAGGTAGAAAACCCAGAACACAATGACTTCCTCAAACTTCGCACCATGCTAATGTAAGTAATTTGAAGTTATCTGCTGTTCAATGTTCTAAAATTCTTGATTTTACACAAATAAAAATGAGGCTGTGAAGAAAATTAGAGTTGATTGTTTAGTCTTCAAAACACATGAGTTGTACCTTTAAACAGTAAAACGAATTAAATGGAGTGTATTTCTGTCCCTCTCAGCCTTATTTTCATTCTAAGACAATGTTCTGTTTTCCCAGTCACTGTCATTATTTTCTGTTGATGGTTATTGTCATCCATCCAGCACCCACATGCAGGACCTGCAAGAAGTCACTCAGGACCTTCACTATGAGAACTTCCGCTCAGAGCGCCTCAAACGGGGCGGCAGGTTGTCCTCCCATGGTTACATTCTGCCTTTGTCGCCTGCGTACGTACTGCTCTGCTTGCCTTTCTCCACCTCCTCCCTCAACCTCCATGAAAAAAATCAGAGCTTTGTGTGTGAAGCCACAGGTTATTTGAATAGCCAAAACCTGGCAACACTAAGCAGATGTATTGAAATAGCACATTTTTACATAGTCACTTCTCATTTTTGTTAAATTCAAATATAAATAGTCATTTGATAGCAGAAACGAAAGGAGAAGAGCAGCATTGCTTTGTCTGGTTTTAGCCTAATCAGTTGATAAACTGTGTTCCATACACTCTAGAGCTTGACCTAGTCTCATGGATCTGCAGCGAGCTGTCAGGTCTGTGTTCGTCAGAGGATAGGAGGGGGAGGTACTGCTGGGAGCTCAGTCATCCTTTAGCCTGACGCTAGCACTGGCTCTGCTCTTCTTACTGCACATAGACTCTATTTCACTCTCACGCATGCAAATACTCAAATACTTCTGCTCAGCTTATCGCACGCTTGCGCTAATAACTTGGATTTGTCTTTCTCGTCTTGCCTAAACTTTGCAATGCAAAACACTGCTGGTGGTTTACTAATACAGTTTTTGTCCCGTCATTTGTTAAATCACACTTTTGATCATTTAGCAAATAATATTTTGGTAATTGATGTAAATGCTGTGTAATTTTAAGAGCTGTCATTTATTTATTTAAAATGAACAATTCATGTCCCCTATTTTTCGGTCTTTGAAGCAGTTGAATGTTTTTTTTAAATTTTTTTATTTTTTTATTCATATACAGTGGGGAAAATAATTATTTGATCCCCTACTGATTTTGTAAGTTTGCCCACTTACAAAGAAATGAAGGGTCTATAATTTGTATGGTAGGTTTATTTTAACGGATAGAGAGAATATCAAGCAAAAAATACACTGTACAAAGGTTATAAATTGATTTGCATTTCAGTGAGTCAAATAAGTATTTGATCCCCAAGCAAAACTTGGTGGAGAAACTCTTGTTGGCAAGCACAGAGGTAAGACGTGTCTTGTAGTTGGTCACCAGGTTTGAACGCATCTCAGGAGGGATTTTGTTCCACTCCTCTTTAAAGATTCTCTCTAAATCCTTAAGGTTTCTTGGCAACTCCAAGTTTCAGCTCACTCCACAGATTTTCTATAGAATTAAGGTCTGGGGACTGGCTAGGCCACTCCATGACCTTATTGTGCTTCTTTTTGAGCCACTCCTTTGTTGCCTTGGCATTAGGAGTAATTTCTTAAAGTGGCAGGACTAAGCTGTGTTCCATTTGGGCACGTAACCAATCTGTGGGAGCCATAATTCGTGCTGGTTGGTAGTGGATCAAATACTTATTTTACTTACTGAAATGCAAGTCAATTTATAACCTTTATATAATGTGTTTTTTCTGGATTTTTTGTTGATATTCTGTCTCTATCCGTTAAAATAAACCTACCATAAAAATTATAGACCCTTAATTTTTTTGTAAGTGGTCAAACTTATAAAATCAGCTTCGTGCTGGTTGGTAGTGGATCAAATACTTATTTTACTTACTGAAATGCAAGTCAATTTATAACCTTTATATAATGTGTTTTTTCTGGATTTTTTGTTGATATTCTGTCTCTATCCGTTAAAATGAACCTACCATAAAAATTATAGACCCTTAATTTTTTTGTAAGTGGTCAAAACTTAAAATCAGAAGGGGATCAAATAATTATTTTCCTCACTGTATATTTTTGTTCTATTTAGTCATAATAATTTGATGGCGTTATTATTAAATTATTTTATGCTAAATTATTAGATATTGCTGCAATAATTTTCCTGTCATCGGAACAAGAATATCTTCAGTGTTGGGTATTTTTAAGTGGAATATATATTTATTCCACTAAAATATGCCTGGCACTTGCGTATGTTTTAAAAAAAAAATTATTTGATGTCCTTGCTCTAATCATTGAATATCTTTATGTAAACTATTATCGAATAAAATTTATTATTTAATAAAATTAATTCTATTCATTTGAGAGCTTTTCTCAGATATTTATATGCATTGAATTCTGATTAATTGAATAATTAAGCTCCATCACATTTCATTTAAATTCTTTAAAAACAAATTTTTTATATACATTTTAAACAATTGACAGTTTTGTTTTGACACTAGGAGAAACTAATTGTGAAGCCTCAGTACAGCTGTGTGTCTCTCTTTACACTTACTTTGTGTCGTGCAGGAAAGGTCCAGAGCCAGAGGAAATGGACAAGGACATAATATTGCAGGAGAAGGAGGCTGAGGTAGGATCTCTCAAACCAAACACAAGCTGAACGCTAATAACACGAATGTTTGCGTGTGAGGGTCTGTGTGTGACTCTGTTTGTGTGTCTCTCAGCTGAGGCGGATGCAGGAGATGATCGCTAAGATGCAGGCGCAGATGCAGAAACAGGGAGATGGAGATGGAGACAGCCCACACCTGTGAGAAACACGGTAAGAGCACATTACAAACACTGAAACCCCAGAACAACATAACCAGTCACAGTATGGGAACCGACTCATAACTATAAGCAGTTCTGCGATGTGAGCTGGTCTTCAGCATTTGATGTTTTATTTGATATTGTAGTTTTTGTAGTGTGATAATGATATGCCAATAAAGAGGAACGAACAATATTTTCATTTTATTTTCTGCCCCCCAAAAATTGAAGCAGGGTGAAATTAAGAAGGTTATATTACAGACATTTTAAATATGGGGGCACAAAACACTGTAATTAATTCCTCTATTTTACTTAGTAAAAAATGTAATATTTTGTTCATGTATTTCTACACAAATCTGCAGATGTTGCATAAAAGTAACATTGAGTAACTTGCTATTCAGAGAACAGTTGGCCATTTATTTTTGTTATTAAATATGCAGTTGGGGGGCTGTTTTTTTTGTTTGTGTTTCAGATGCAGACCTGAGGAGAGACCGGTCCTTAGCTCATCTTGCTTGCCATTTTCTTAGTTTCTTTCACTCTTGTATGATTTCATGTTTTTTGTCAATTTTTTTTTAAAGCAGTATTAAGTGTTTTGTTTTGGTATTTTATTCAAATGCTGTTGCTGAGATTCATTCATTTTTTTTCCTGTTCCAGTAACCAAAAATGAAGAGCAACCATCAGTAATTAAGAAAAAAAAATCTGTTACAAAAGCCAAATGCTGCTGGGGAAGGAATCTTCTACTGTAGAGCACCTTTACTAGTAGTGTAGCCACTCCATGACCACTCAAATTCATTTCTGTCCCATCTAGCTAAACAAGCACTGTGAGAATACAAGCAGCTGTTGAATTTGAGTGTCACGGTGGCGTTTTTGAAATGTTCTTTTTAAGAAATCATTTTATGCTGTTTCTAAGTGTTGCCAGAGAGATTGCTGTCATCCTGTAAATGCTGTTGCTGAGATTCATTCATTTTTTTTCCTGTTCCAGTAACCAAAAATGAAGAGCAACCATCAGTAATTAAGAAAAAAAAATCTGTTACAAAAGCCAAATGCTGCTGGGGAAGGAATCTTCTACTGTAGAGCACCTTTATTAGTAGTGTAGCCACTCCATGACCACTCAAATTCATTTCTGTCCCATCTAGCTAAACAAGCACTGTGAGAATACAAGCAGCTGTTGAATTTGAGTGTCACGGTGGCGTTTTTGAAATGTTCTTTTTAAGAAATCATTTTATGCTGTTTCTAAGTGTTGCCAGAGAGATTGCTGTCATCCTGTACAGGACTTTTCTGAAGTACATCTCTCTTCCCTGCATGAAGTCTTGAAATATAAGTGCTGTTCAGTTGAATGGTCCCCAAACTGATGCAAAACATTATACTGTGACCCATGATTCATTCCCTATGCCGTCTAATGAAGAAGAATACATTGTTCTCTAATGTTATAGCTCATTTTGCTGATTTTTATTTGTACCGGAGTGCACACCGTCATGTTTGTACTATCAGACATTGTTCTGGTTCGAGTGCAATGTGAGATTTACTTAGTGGAGTGACATTTGGATACATCGAAATATGCTGTTGTGCTCTTTAACCTTGATGCATGCCAAACAGAATATTTATACAGCTGAATTTGCTTTCCATATTTGGTCATGAAATCTCTGCAGTTATTAAAATTACAGTTTTAATGTTTCCCTTGATAACTTTCTATTAAACCATTATTGTCTAATTAATAAAATTTTGTATTGAAACAGATTTGGGGTTTGCTTTTTTTTGGGGGGGGGGCTATTAACTTCTCAATTTGCTGTTGATTATAACAGGAAGGACTTGTCAAAATCGGTGGCTGTTTTTATTAATTTTTTTACTCGTTAAGTCCAAATTTTTATTTTATTTTTTAAGTACAGTTTTCTCTATGGTCGGTAGAGGCCGTGAATTATAACATGATAAAGAACAACGATTAAGGCCTTAAATATTCACAGGTATTTAGAAGTAGCATCGTTCTGGTTTTGTAACTAAAGATAGATGGGCAGTTTCATTGACATTGTGAAAGGGTGTAGATGCGAGAGGCTCGATGTGGAATCTCATGTAGTGACATTTGTTTTAGAATGTTTTTTTTTTTTTATCATATTATTTTAAAGCCATAGTTCACCCAGAATTGTAAATTTTGTCATCATTTACTCACCCATCACTTCAAACCTGTAGGCGATTTAGTAGTATATTTAGTGGACAGTCAAATAACAACACACAATTCTGACACCAAGTGGGACAGAAGAGCATAAACTGCACCTGATGTTAATAAAGGAGCTGGGCAATTACCATAGACTGTATAAAAACAATTACACAAGGCCTTGAGCACTCCAGCAACTACTATGCAGAAGAAAATACCTACCTAGTGAACTTGCTTTGAGTGTAAGGCAGTTCATTTAAGTAATTATCTAGCTAGCAGAAAGAACAAAGTTAGGTTAAGACAGCCTGCTGCAAAACACAAAACTATTCTAAATCATAGTGAGTGTCCAAGTTACATCCTGCCAGGCAACATCAATGGACCAAGAACTGACTTCATAACAGTAATAGTTTAATAATAATACAATAAATAATCCAAAAGATAAGTGGAAGAGCTCTTGATCCATGCTACAACTGGAATATAATTTGCGTATGTTTTTTAATTATGGACATCTGAGAATAATTAAAGAAATCTTTGAGTCTCCTTTGTTTTAGCGTCTGATAACCTATAATAATATTGCGTTATTCATGTTTTTGTTTTTTCCCACGAGGGAAACTTTTATACCACGTCAATAAAACAAATAAGAGCGTAGTACATTATTTAAAAAATAACTGTTTATGCTGCTGGTGCCCTGAGGACAAGCTTTCCATTATGATGAACATTTTTTAAAAATTTTTTTACTTCAGTAAATAATTGGCAACACTTTATTATACTGTGGCCTTGTTTAGCATTAAATGTACCTACTATAGCAATAACAGTAAATTATGCATAATTAAATGCAGCTAACTCCAAACCAAACCTGAATCCAACCCTATAGTAAGTACGTTGTTAATGTTGTTCTCAGTACTTCTATGTACTATTACACTGTAACAAGGACACCCTAAAATAAAGTGTAACCAAATATTTGAAGAGATCTAAACTTACCACAATTCACACCAATAACCACACAAACATGTTTCCATAAACACTTTATAATAGGATTTCGATCTAACAGGTAAACACAGTTCGCTCAATGACATGGCTTTTTCTCTTAAATACTGTCCATTCTATAAAGAAAACTGTAAAAATATTTAATCATAACTAATTAAAAGATCTCCGGGGGTAAGAGAGGATGAATGATGGGCAGTTGTATTGTGGTCCTGATGGGGCGATGATGATGATGATGATGATTTAGTGTGGGAGGAGGAAGGAGCAGCAGCAGTAGAGGCGTGTCTTCACCGTGATGATGGCGTGGTGTTGCCATTCAGAGCAAACCTAATAAAAAAATTTTTTTTTTTAACTTAAATATTACATTAAAATGCTATTTTTACTTGTATAGTGGTATATTTTCTATACCACTGTACTTTTTCTTAAAGATCCACTCACCTGCACACTCTCTCCATCATGTGTGTGACCAGGAGGTCAGAGATGCCAGGACAGGACTCTTCTGCCAGGTTGAAGGCATTCTCCAGCTCCTCTATGGCACCCATTCCTCCTCCACATGCCCTCCTCTTCTCCTTCAGCTGGAGAGCAGACAGACTTACGTTTAACTCTACAACATATAGAGCTTATCAGTTTATTACACTTTACTGCTGCCTTATCTGCTGCTACCTTGATAAAAAGTGATAGTGTTAGAGTTACAGTGAGTGCACTGCATTTGGCGCCGACAAATCCAGTCAGGGTGTTTGATTATATATACACAAGGTGAGTTTTGTGCGTTTTTACCTCTCTGAAGATGGGAGAGACCAGCGCTGACAGACATTGTGACTTGGGTTGCCTCTTTACCGTCTCAGCTGCCTGTAAAACAAATCCAAAGCAAAACTTTACCTTTCATGTAGGGATGTCAAAAATACTGGCACTTCAGCAAAGCCAGTGCCAAAATAAAATGGTGTAAATGGTCCACAGCAATGTTATTTTAGTTTCATTGATAGTTTTTGTTGATATTTTGAGTTTTCATTTTAATTTTGAGGATCTACTAATTTTATGTCATGTCTGTATAGTTTTTATTTAGCTTTAATTTCAGTTTAAAGGTGGGGTAAGCTATTTCTGGTAGCCAATATTGACATTTGAAATCACCAAAACAAACACGCCCCTATTTTGATAGCTCCACCCCACACATACATACGCAACCCAGGCAACGATTAGTTCTGTGAAACAAAGCAAAACCAATGTTACACCGTATCTACACCGGCGCGACAAAATACTATAGAACGCATTATAATCAGTGATGCTGACAGCACCATACAGATATATATTAATATCTATGGTCTACACTGGATGCGGCGCGGCACGACAAATCCCCGACAGAAAACTGCTGCTGCATTCTATTTATGACGTATTGACACAAATTTAAAATGATTTTCAACAGTCGCTTTGTCGCATCCAGTGTACTAGACAGACTTTAGCTGTTGCGGCGCAGACACGGTGTTACTCGCCTATCGAGAAGACACAAAGCAACCTCGGCATCCGATCGCAGGCCTTCCGCTCTTTGAGTTCTCTTCAGCGCTGGAAAGCTGATCCGATATTTACATGGGTCCTACTTCTTGCCTTATCGTAAGCCTTCTTTTGTTCCGCAGATGTTCTCCTCTTTTGTTTTTTATCCACCATCTCCATCTTTCTGTCGCTGGGCTCGGCTAATGTCTGTCCTGTGCACTGAGCGCTCTCTCCTCCACATCATGAGTAGACGTGGAGCCCTTACTGCTGATTGGCTGCAAGTTTGTTTTGCTATTCGGCCCGAATCAGTTTTCTAAAGCGTTTTTGAAAAATCGCTTACCCCACCTTTAAGTTATTTTAGTACATTAAAAACTCAATTGAGAAATACTGCCTTAGCAACTAGCAGAAATCAAATGAGTTTATTTTTCAAAGTTTTATTGTATTTCAGATGTTTATTGTATTTCAAGTAATGAAACTGTTTTTATGGCTTTAGTTTTAGTTGGCAATAACCCTGTAAATGTTTGTATGAAGTAAATGTTTGAATAGTGACCTCTGAGTCTGTGTTTGTGTAGCCCTTCTGGAGCTTGTTCATAGAGCTGGGCCGCACTGTGGGGAACGTCCACATGGGACACTGGTCTCGGTCATCACTATCTCCATCCCTGTTTGAGTACAGGAAGAATGGAGAACATTATTCTTTTCAAGGCTATAAATCATCTGGATCAATTCACCAGATATCTAATTAAAAGGACAGGACAATTAAGTAATAAGAAATGAATAATATATCATATTGGATGGATGACATACATATCAGAATCATCAGAGCTAGACTCGTCTCCGTGGCCTTCAGACTTCCAGCGGCCATATCGATCAATCAGCTCTGTTAGATAGGACGTTTTCTTGGTGTAGCGTGTGATGAATTTGTGCTTCAGTAACTCCTTGGCGGTGGGCCGCTACACAAAACCAGAATATTGATGCCAT